AGGATTTATCATGTCTTCTAACTAACAGAACTTGGGAAACTAGCAGATATCCCACTTTCAGCTGTACAACAAAGGCAAAGCATTTCCAGGAGCCTATTTAGCACTTTCGAAAAAATCCCGAATAAATAATTAACTGATGCGATTTTGTTGTTCCTCAATAACTGAATAAAACCCAAGGAGATGCATGAACAAGGTGGCTGGAATAATAATAGTTGGTACACACAATGGGCCTTTATATGAATATCATAGGTGGAGAGCAGGAAATCGACTCAGACGTCGTGTTAGAGTACACACGTGAACCTAGCTACCCATACACTTTCGTGCTCACTTTAAACCTTACCAATGCCATATAAGCCTCTACCATGAAGCGCCTTATCTGAGAGTTTTGAGGAGGAGAAGTCCAAATGATACCAGCCGCTACAGTGGTGGCAGCGGTGAGATTGGGTTATAGCTTGATCCGAAGGTCAGCCCACGTGCCCATGAGCAAAACAAACACCAGGTTAACCTCTAGTCCTACAAGCGATAGCCTCAACTGAGTATTACAAAAGTTGCAACACCGGGGACATCGGATATGTAGCAGCCAAAAGTGATTGAGCTGCTGCACTTCTTCGGCCAAATACTTATGCTGAAATGCCTTTTTAACTTGCGAGTGACAGGCAAGTATCAAGTAATTAAAGAGGCACTGTAATACTGATGTCTAATGTCTGGCGGTTACTTTGGTATTAATATGGCCTTTGCACTAGTGAGCTGGACTTCGGGCCGAGTCAAGGCAATATCTCATCTTCTACCAAAATACTTATATATTCGACTTAACGTGATTGTAAAGCTTTGTTTATGTGACCAGCTGACGTCTGACGGTCACCCCTGTATTCAGCATCACTTACTGTGGCGTCCCCAGACATCCCGTAGGGTGGAAGAAGGCAGTAAGTGAGGCTGGATACATATATTCTGAAGAGAACAGAGCAAATAGGCCTGAGCATGGCCCGAAGTCCAGCTCACGTATACAGGGTCCAGACAAGTCCTAAAGTGACCACCAAAATTCGGATACACACATAGTCAAATCTTACACTTACCGCCTTCATCCATCCGGGGGGGCAGTCTCAGAATGCTGCAGTGATGCCTTTGACCACCTGTTGGAAAATCTCGGAGCACTACAGACACCAATTCAAAAGAGAAAAGTAAATGGCTCATATGAGTGCAATACGGCCTCATAACCCAAGCCCACAAAAACGCATATATAAGAGCATTAGACCATCAAACAATATTTACTTAAGAATCTCTAATTCATTACTAGATTCAGCTTAAAATGAACTTGTTGCTCCTAATATTTTGGACAGATGATACTGCTAGGTTTAAAGCGTATATTCTTGAAAATAAAATAGCCTAGAGTAGCCGTTACTTGTTGTAAATGCTCATAATGTCTCCTATGCATGTACATTTTGCTATTTCCAAAATATGATGATGTTGATGTTTTAAGGCAAGCAGGCTTGCTTCATTCCTTCCTTTGGCTGATTAGGCTTCGCAGTTGGTTATGGATAACTACCGTCGTTTAAGCGAGAATCCATTTGCCGACCCGGTAAGTGTCACATTAGCACAGTTTGTCTGACGTTTCTTCTATGCTATTTTTGCAATCAACTGCCTCTTTCTGCCTTTTCAAATATCCTATTTGATGTCACATTTTATTTCGGTACTGGTTTCAAAGTCGCAAACATGTAGTCCATCCTATTTGGTGCAGTTGACTTCTGCAAGGCAGCCCACTGTTGTCTAAGTTTGCCGACGCTTCTGCGACAATTTTATTTTCAGAGCACTACAGATGTTGGCGGACATGAAAAAACGGTTCCATCGGCGACCTTTAGTACAATTCACGATCAAGGACTTGAAGGATACAATCCTTTTAGTGGAGAAAGGGAGTCTTCGAACACTACTGCACCGCCATATCCGACTATACCCGCATCAAAGCTAGCTACTGATGAGCTTCAACGTCGGCAAGAGGAACTTGAGCGAAGAGCTGCAGAATTATCGCGCAGAGAGGAGGAATATCGGAGATTGGAGGAGCAAGCTGCCCGATCGGGTGGAATTACTCGTATGTGACCTACATGTTCGATAGCTGGCTTTAGTTCATTAAGCCCTTCGTTGCATCTTACTTCGATATCAGGTATATTTTGTTTTTCTTCCCTCACTTTCATGGTCATCTGTCACCTTGTGCGTTGCATAGATTTACTTTGTCAGGAATGGATCCATAATTTTCAACTTTCAAGATGTAGTTTGATATTGTCTTTCAGCTTAATTTTCCTTTCCCGCTGCAATTTTCACTTTGTATGCTCATTGCAGCTCCTTTTTAACTACTGTTATTTTAAGGATAGTATAAAACAGGTTATCATCGCCGAACATGTGTGATATAAGCAAGCTCAATAACTAGCCTCCGATCTTTTTAGGTAATAATTGATTGCAATTCAGTTTCATTCTATTCCCTGGTTGAAGGTTACAATTGCAAATCTGCTGAAGTAGCCAACTTTTGAGCTTATAACGCAGAATGGGTAACTAGTGGCATTCATATCCGACTTTGAATTTTACGGAAGGTAACATTCTTTCAAAGCTGAACCTAGCTTTGTTAAGGAAATAAATTTTCGTAAAATTGTTGATTTATTTTTTGTCTCAGTTTCTTGAAGTAGTTGGTCCCCAATTTGCATGCTAACTACTGGCTTTGTATTTGCTTATTACAAATAGTGAGCTGTTGAGTCTGCATACGGTCCAATTCCTAACATGCTGAATTCATTTTTTTTATAATCACTTAAGCATTTTAAGTTCTTTACACCAAAGTTCTGTTCTGTGAGTTCGCTTGAATTGGTTTCATTTTCAAAGTATTTTGCCCCATGCCTTGTTGCGATAGTGATTATTAGAAATCACACTTTGTGTAGCTTATGACTTGGTTCTGTGGTTGTTCTTGCAATTATCATTTAAGGGTAGGCTGCTTGATGTTTAAATAGTGCTCGATTAGCTTTGAAGTTTGTTTGCCATGAATGAGCGTACACGCAGAATCCTTCGAGCCGTTACGTCAATGGCTGTACAATTTTTCATAAAATGTCACTTAGTTTGTCAACAAACATAATTACTGTTGCTTGAACGCCTCTCTTTGTCACTTATTTCACACTTCCGGAATGGAAATTCTTTGCAGCAAATGTCTATACTGCTCCCGAACTGCCCAATATTCTGTTTATTTGGATTGAATTACACTTGTAATGGGCTTGGGTGATGCGTATATTGACGTACGGAGAGTAGTTTTGGCCTCAGCCGGGGATTTGATTATGATGGGAACTTTTAATGCTTAGAGGTGGATTGGTCTCGGTCTGACATACGTGTGATATCTATTTGAAGCACATAACCTGTAAATCTACTTAAACAGTTTCTCCGTCCTGAGGTGGTCCAAAGGGGCTTGACTCAGCCTTAGTGGTTATGCTGGGGTCTTTTTCATATCTTGTCCACGGGCGTCCCATGTATCAAATGTATTTTTTGTTCCCTTGCAAACAGCACTTTACATTATCGTGTTTACCTATTTTCGCGATTTTCAGGACGTTCTGCTTTTTGTTCGAGTTACTCAGTATTCTAATTCACCTAGAGTCGTTGACTGCACAAAATTCAACCGGTATGTTTTGAGTACGATGGTGAACCAAGCGGCATTTGAAACGATCGTGGTTCATTCTTTTTGTCCACCTCTTTCTCAGATAACGCATTGAGTTGGATAAATGAAATGAGTTCATTGAATGCTAACTGAATCTACTTTAATAACCTTATTAAGAATTAGTTAAATCTCCTGTCATTAAGGCATTTTCGATATGCAAATACGATACTTTTCAATCCCTTGGCGTTATTAACAGAGGTGTTCACTTTTATTGAAAACTTTGATTGCTCTTTTCCTTCCCAGTCTTCTTGGTAACATTTGGGAGGACTTTCTTCATATCCTCTTCTTACTTGCATGGCATTCTCTAGACGCTTCTCTTGCGTCTTTAGTTTTACTTGTTTTCGTTGTGCGCAGTTGGTATGACTGAAAATAGCGTCATTTACACCAACTTTTGCCTCAGAATGAGACTAGTTGGTTCAAGTACAGTCCCATTATTCCTTTAATTTATGATGGAGACTGCCTTTTGTTAATAAGTTTTTCTGGATCCTGAGAAGAATAAACAGTTCTAAGGACTATTTTTATTCCAGACCTTCGTTTAGGTGGTAAACTATTTGTGACCAGGTTACTTTCAGTTTTCTGAGTTGCGTACTTTTGCATTTTAAGTAGTTCACTTTTACTTCAATTACTGGTGCGTGTTACCATTATTTGAGATATTTGCCAGCCACAAATCAGCCTTCAGCATCTCGATCCCCATTCGCATCACTTTTGATGATGACGCAGTGTGGTAGTCATGTGTGCTCATATTTTCGGATACGCATATTTGTTCTTTAGCGATTCGTAAGAACTGGCCTCCGCTTCCGAGTTTCTGCCCTTGCACGCCTTGCTTTTACCAGAACATCGATCTAGAGATCAAAGCGGAGTTCCGTCGGCTGGTTACCATTGGATATTACATTTGGATTTCATACGCGATCCTCCTGGCAATCAACGTTCTCGGTGGTGTGATCTATTTTGCCCAGTCAGCTGATCCCTCTGGAGGAACCCTTTTTGGTGTGTCGATTATAATCTTCATTCTCTGTGTTCCACTCTCTTACGTTTGTTGGTTCCGTCCTCTCTACAAAGCTTTCAAGTAAGTTGTTTTAACTAAGGTTATTAATCATGGCTGAACATTGCTTCCTTTTGCTACTAAAATAACTCGTCCATTTTGTTGTATGGACAGATACTTCTAAAAAATATTAGGGAATGGTTCTGTTAGTCATATAATAAACTTGATCCTCACATAACGTTTCTAGGACAGGCTACAATTACCATTTTTAAAATGTCTTGCACATCTTCCTCGCATCTATAGTTAGAAGCAAAACAAATGCGCAGGTGAATTGCCTTCGCTGACATCATGGAATTTTTCAACTCTGCCGTTCATCACATTGTCTTGGAATGTTTTTTTTTCCGGAATTTCTTAAGTTGATTCGATGAACGTGCCTAATAGTTTTGCTGAAAGTGGATGTTTACATCTAATTTCATATTAATCTTTGGTAAATTTTAGATCCAACAGCTCCGTCAACTTCTTTACTTTCTTCTTCGTATTCTTTGTCCAATGCATAATTCTTCTCATACAGTTTTTGGGAATCACGAGTTGGGGCACCTGGTAAGCTGGAGCTGAAAGCTTTCGTATTTGTGGTGCTATCTGATGGAGAAAACCGGTGATTCTTGTCGAACTGGACTAGTTGAGATTCTTTGTCTGGTGGTAGTAAAGGCCAACTAGGCTAGATTCCACAGAATGCTACCGATACCATTCCTGAATTAGTTCTTAGATGGTGGGTGCTCATTTCCGTAATCATGTGAGTGTTGATTTGCGGTCTGCTTGGATGGTAAAGTAATTGGAACGCTTTTCAGGTGTGTGGTACTTGACGCGCAATCGCTCTAGGCTCTCTATCTGCGCGCATAAGCTGAATGGTCTACTTTTGTAGGTCTGCGTTTCCACCAAGTTGTACTAATCAATGTGCTACATTCGAGTTTAGTGGCGGTGGCACTGTGCTTATGCCTTCTCATCTGCGCTCTGATGTGAAAATGCAGAAAAGTACGACGATTTACTGGTATCACGCGCGTTAGCACTGTTTGGGTATCATTTACCAGTTTTGTCCACTATGGAGAAAAAATTGTAGCTTCGAAGACAGACAACTTCAAAGCTTGGTTGTTATTGACACTAGCGGTGGAGCTGAGGGAAGCTACTTTTCTGTTTCCTCCTAGCGGTTTATTAGTTGGCTTGGGCGTGGTAAAGACACATCCCGGCGTCGGGGGCTTCGTCCTCCTCATCGCTTGCCTTTTCGGTGCAGAACTTGCGGCTTCTTCCTACTACTTTGTGCTGGTAAGTTGTTTAGCCTAACTTGGACGTGATTCAAGTATGTGTGCAAAAGTAAATGAGAATGTTCCTTAAACCTTAACCTTTTTAAGAAAATCATTTTGATCAAATGGTGGCTGAATTGATAAGTATGACTAGTAGGCCCTCTAAGTGTTGGAATAACTAGGGAAAATCGCAAGTACAATCGCCTCCAAAGCTATCAGCTGTGACGATGATTATATCTACACAAACGAAATCGACTCTTAACTTCACATGCATTCATGTATGTGTGCTCGCCTAGAGATAGTAAGCGTAGACCCGGCAACCATGCTGTCTTAAATAGGTCGTTACCTAAAACCACATATCGTGAGACCAAATTCGTCTTCTTGGCCATTGACCTCGATGCGTACGCCACTATCTGCAATGCTAATGCAAACTGCCTCTCATGCGCAGGTGCACCGTACATATCGATCGACGGGCGCGAGTTTTGGAAAAGCTCGAGAAGAGCTGACCACCAGCCTAGCCACCAATCCTGTAGTCCGAAATGTCGGTATGGGCGCGGCGCGTGAGGCTTTCACGGGACCGCCACCACATGGCGACACTCGTTATTGAGCCGCTTCCCTCTTTATCTATCAGTCACTTATCTCAACTGTCCTGTCCTGGATAATTCGGTCGTTACCATCGTGATCTTTCTGTGGTCCCTGCATCTGCTTCGTGTTATCCATTGTGCACGTCTCCTTCCACCGTCTACTATTGCCAATCAGGTGCTCTCAATCAATATGCACCGCATCGTAGTGTACCAACTGCAATTCAATTTGCACAAGGCTCATTTTGCCGTTTCGTACACAATCAATTCATTGTTACTGCCTTTGTTAATCAACAGATCGACAAATCCCAACGTGAAGTCAGGATAATTTATTATCTTCAATAACGTTTACCGTTTTGAAAATGGTTGGTTTCGTCAACGGTGCCTTTCTTCAGCCATTTTTACGTTGTCACCCCCTTGTCCCTGAGATGATAGAGGCACCAACAAATTAGACGATGCCGGCAACGCAATAGTCGAGAGGTTGTGCCGAGTATGCTAAGACTAATGTTTGTAGGCAACCAATTAAACAATATTTAAAATTTGAATATTTATGAGATTCAGTTGTATGGCTCAAAAACGCCGAACATACTGACAATATATAACTAGTGAATAGTGAGTTCTTGGCGCTAAGATTATCAAAGGGAGACATCACAGTTAGAGGTACAAACAAGATTAAAAGCTGTCAATCTAGCGCGCTTCCTATATTTCTAGAATGAGATTTTAATAGTAAAATATGGAGGAGCAGCTGAGAGCTCAGTACGTAAAGCAAAACACGGTCACTGCTTTTGCAGAAAGCCTTTTGCTTTGCTGCGGTCACCACCGGCCGAAATGAGAGCATCGGCAACTTGGTCCAACTCAAATCCATCATCATACAGGATGCGCAAGTCCACTTCCACCACCTCTTGGTCACGACCACAGGCAGCTGCAACTCTTTCAGCTGCCTGCAATAGGTCCTGATTCTTGGATCTACCTCTAAAAAAGATGTTGATAGTGTGATTAGGGCAAAGTTAAGACGCCTTAGACCTTACTTTCCTGGAACACCTGCATGGGCAGCGTTAAAGGAAGCTAGGAGACAAATTCAGACTAGAAGTGCATCAACAGGTAGGGAGCACCATCACTATGATTATTGGGCACAATATCGTTTGTATTATTCTTAGCTATTCAAGCATCCGGTTCAGCCCAGCACCTCTTTTTGATCTCGTGAGGTGACTGTCTGCTGAAATGTGGCCTGAACAACCTTTCGTGTTGCCTCTAGAACTACCAAACCTACGCATTAAAGCTGTTTCGGGGTCCAGAAGGGGTAGAACCTACAAGGAAAAGAACACCACCGACAAAACGCAGCCAAAAACACTATCTGTCCTCTCTCCCAAATCTCAACTTCCCAAATGCAATACTGCACCTTCCACTAGAACTACTCCAATGCTAAGACCTACCGTCTTGCAGGCTTATGCTTTTAAACGTCTAAAAATAACTGCCCTAATAGACGACTGTAACAAAGGAATTCTCACCGTTCTTATCCCCTTGAGAGGGGAAGAAAAGGACAGCTCTGGCCATATTAGCTACTGCAGCAAAACTTACCTTGTTCGTTCTGGTTGCTACAAGAGACCGAAGCAAAGAGAACAAGAGTAAAGCAAAATTGATTTCACTCACCCATAGTAGATGTGAAGTGTCTGCCCCATATTCTTCTAAGATTTTCCAAACACTACTTCAATGGAGACCAAGTAGGGACCGATGCGCCTTATCTACATCCAGCTTTTCATGATGCGAATTTGTTCGCCTACAGAATACTCTGGTCTTATCTATATAGTTGCTAATTTGCAACTGTTGTACCACTTTCAGAAATTTTTGCCATGCTTTAGTGCCGGTGGCAATGACGCAATATTCGGCAGTCATAATGCGAAAACTTACCAAACATTTGGATTGCTGGCACCAATAAAGGCCTAAATGTAAGGTGTACCGACATCAAAAGCTGCGCATACCTTAGATGAGCCTTGCTCGCCTTTATCGGTTTCCGCAAATGAATTTCCTAGAAGTGTAAGGGGAGATTAGCTTTAATGAACTATTGGAATGAAGCTAACACCTTTTTCCTATGTCTAATGTGGAGAACTACGAAAGCTGATCTCTATCTCTCGCTACTTTTGTTAAGAGAATTGGATTCAAAATAAATTCATATTTTCTATGGCAAGTGATCAACTTACTCGCATCAATCGCTTTGATTTGAATTTCAATCGGAGTTGTGCACAGAATTTTACTGCTGCATTGATAGCACAAGGCTGAAGACTGCGAAAATAAGCAGCATTGCTAACTATAGTTCAAGTACATGTGATGATACACAAGCACTTCGTTTCCAAGTGGGAGGAATAAATCACTGCTTGAATTTCAAGTTTTATTTACTGTTAAATCTATATTTTAGTCAGTTCTAATCATTGCATCAACTTTCCGTGAACTATTCTGCATTAAGGAAGCTGGGTCGTTTTGAAAAATGAGGGGAAACTGATAGGACTCTAAGAGTTTCGGTATGTCACGTGCCCTTAGCATCATAATTCAGTTTAACATTAATGCTATTTTGCTTTCCTACACATCATTTTGTAATATAACATTGTTTTAAACTCACTTTAGCAGGAGCACTTCCCTGCAACGTAAGATATTTTGGAGGGAGCTTAAATTGTTAGTATGGGAGGTCAGAGCTGCTCGGCTCGCATTGATAAGAGAAGTTGTCAATGTAAAATACGCCTTAAGTCTCTAAAGGTACAGTGCAAAGACCCTCAAAAAGTGGAAACTAAAACACTGCATCCATTTACCCACATTTAAAGGTAAGATTGATCAAATGCGCGTGAACTCATATGTGAAAATATCAGCAGTAGATTGAGAGCGCACCTGTATCCTCCGACAACAATTGTTGCAAATGAAGTGACCGCAGGGCTCCAACCGTGTGTCGCTTTGATTGACTCTACAAATCTTGCACGTCATTAAGTTCCCATCCTCTCCTGGATGACGTTGCAATTCTACCTTGATCCTCATATTGGATATATCAGAAAGATCATCCAAACAAGCTTGGCCCTTCGGATATTTGAAGCTAAAAAGGTAAATTCATAACTAGAAGCTATACGATTTACCTGCAGATATATTTCGCAATCTCCATGGCGGTATAGAAATGCAGAATGTCTTGTATTAGCTATCGATGTTCATTTAAAGCGAAAAATATTATGCCACAAGACTTCCCTGGCTGAAGTTAGAGCATCTCAATGGCAGGAGTTTAATTTTCTCATGTTTTAAACATTTAAACCCAACATATAACAATGGATTTCGAATTACGATGACACATACAGGCCTTGCTGTTTTCCAGTGCAGAGATACTCCGACATCGGTGAAGTAAAGCACAATACCTGAGTGATTTTCCCTTCGGCGGACACATAGCCTATAGACCAATATCCATTACGACTCATGCTGATGCGATATGTATAGCTAAACGAAAAAAAGTGAGTCAAAATAAGCGCCAGGGAGTGAATAAATATCGATGACTGATTTGACAACTTCGATTGACTGGAATGGATGCCCGATAGTAAACACGTACTCCGTAATAAAAGCTGCAATAACACAGGGTTGAGTGATGCAGAAATTACCTTCCTGGGGTCGTTCTGTATCCGTCAAGTACATCGAACGTGGTGTTAAATGTTCCATATTTTTGGTAACCAGGATGATTTACCAGCCTTCGCCAGATCCGAGTAAGAAAAGGCCAAGGCCCAAAAAGTCTAAGGTTTAAAAAAAGATGAGACACTTATTTTAAATAATAAATGCTTCACGAAATCAAAGCACACCTTGTAAAAATATCCAAATCATATTTAGAAACATAGTCTGGAGACGAGAAGCCAATGGTATCAATCAATGCATTTTGTTCCTCATTCACATCGGGAAATTCTCTACGGAAGTGATTCCAAAATTCATCACTGCGAACCGCCACACTGAAATGGAAAGATCGCTCTTTATTGAATTAAGTAGGTATAGAAAATAGGGCCTTACGCTGCTTCGGCAAATTAGTTGGTTTAATTTTCTGGATACATTACACATTCATAGACTCGTCCGACAAGTAACATAACATAAAATAGATAAGGAAACTCACTTTGAACCGAAGTTCAGTTCCCACCAATTCTGAGCATCTTTTCTGCCAAAAACTTGGTTCGTTGCGAACCTCCCATTTGGAAAAAGGAACTTGATTTCCTCTGCGCTAGAAATAAAAGAGCTATTTTATGAATAAGCCAATTACTATTAATACTCTTGACGGATGCATAATAAAGCAAATCTTTTTAACGGGAAAATTTCAGTAAACAATGACGAGGAAGACTTGAATTAGGAATTGAGTTGTAGAAAAGATTACATACACAACGGTAATAACGTTAATAAAAATGCTGAAGTAATCTTTGAAGCACAGAACGTACATGTGATAGAGGAAAGAAGTATACATGCTAAATGTTTCCTCTTCAAAATGTCTACTTCCACTTCGTACGTACAACTCGAAATGACCCAATAATTTGGTCAAATTAGTAAAAAATTTCGTGCGAAAGTCGGAAAAATATTGATACAGACTTGAATCTCTATGTGGAGCATGAATGTTTGACAGCAGTCCATGTAGGTTTTTCAGTTGTTCAATGGTATCCTTCATATGTTTTTCACATTTCATCGGTTCATGTTGTCTATGGAACCGTTGCCTCAATCCTGAAGCAGAGATTTGAGCTTCAGCTGTTTTCCATGCCTTTTCGGTGATATCACAAGCTTCCGTAAAGGATGAATCCCGGTGGGCCATATCGAGCTAAAGTTAGGAATCAACGCAGAAGGCTTCAAGATACTTGGGAAAAATGATGAGAAATAGGCAAGTCAATAGTCTAAAGATTAATTAAGCTCGCAGTATTAGAGGTTAAGTGATGATCAGGACATGCAAAGACTACTGAGGGTAACTCGAGCCAGCACGATATTTGAAGGCAAAGGGCAACACATAACCGTATTTCCATGCGTTAAAAGCATGGAAATAAAATCAGCAAGATTAAATAAATGGTACAACAATATGTAAATGTTGTAAAAGCGATTTCCAAAATGGATTGTAAAAATTATCATTTGAGAAATAGGTGATTCGTATTGAGGGCAAAGGATGACAGTTTCAATTCTTAAAGAGTTGAAACAATATACCTATACTTTCCATCTCGTCACTCTCATACACTTGGTTAGATTAGGGATAAAATCAGCAGTTCGTATCCGCTATGTACGTAGATAGTCGAATAGTCAATCTAGTCTAACCTCTGCATTACTTGTGTTTCATTATCATGGCCATAAGGCATCTTCCGAATATTCAGCCGAGTGATGTTAACTTCGACACTATCCACCTTCTGTCAGCCGCAACTTATAAAACCCATGCCAAATCCTCATGTTAATGCTTTGTCTAAGGGTACAAGTACGCAGCAAATTAACTTCCGCCTTCGAGCATTGATAATTTGCTAAACAATATCGAAGCTATCTGCAAAGACAATTTCGTTAAAAACCAATCCTTGCAAAAAAACGCAAAATTTTCGTATATGAGACTCCATTGCCACATCAGACTAATGTCGGAGATGAAAATACGCCAAAATGCTTCCCATGCTTACATGATGTCACCTATGAAGAACTTCTGAAGACACGAAAACAAACAAACAACGAACAAACGAACAAATTTCGCAGACATGCCACCGTAGTGATCATAATGAAAGTGAGTAAGAAAGTAACCAACA